CTCCCTCCCTTCCTCCCTCCCTTCCCTCTGTTTCTCCTTCCATTTCTTTCCAAGCCTATCCTGTCAGTTCCAGTTCTACCACTGGAAGTCTACCCCCAAACTCTTAGTGTACAAATGTGTACTTGTGAATCTTAAAACTTCATTTTGAAATCATTTTAGACATATGGAGGGAAGCTCCTCTGTTACCAGTCACTCAGCCCTGCCAAACAGTGTTAGACCACATTTGCTCTAGGCCTTAACCGCCCCCCCCCCCCCCACTTTACTCACTTCACAACTAAATCACATCAGTATAGTTGTAAGTATTTGTGTGTACCGCCCCAAACAATGGCATTCTCTCTTATTTATTTATTTATTTCAGTTTTCTTGAGACAAGATCTTATGTAGCCTAGGCTGGTGTTGAACTTACTACGTATCCCAGGCTGACCTTGAACTCAAGGACTTCCTGACTCAGATTCCCCAGGCTGGGATTAAAAGGTATGCCCTTGGTTTATGCAATGCTGGGCCTCTAACCTAGAGCCCTGTGGGTCTCATCTTAGACCAGCATAAGGCTGGCATTATGGGATGAAGCTGCAGATGAGACCGACCTCCAAGGTCCAGAGCCATCATTAGAGAAGGCAGGGCCTTTCTGCCATCCCTTCACGGCAGCAACTGTCGATCAACAAAGAACGGGTCAAACAGTGACTCTTGAGCTGAGCCGAACTGCAGGGACTTGTGCTCCTGATGTTCCTTGGTGGTGCGGGCTCAAGGCTAACAGCTTCCCCTCTGGTATCATTTCCTCATCTGTATCCTGTATGAGGGGTTGATGGCTGGTGAAAGTCTGAATATCCTGGCAGAGGTAAAGTGTTCATAAGAGCATCTGCTACATACACATTTAGCTACCATAACAACCATAACCACCATCAGCGTAAAGAACAACTATATGTGAAGCCACAGGGTGGGTTGTGGGGCTCTACACGTGTGGTAGTTGGAAAAGACATGTTCTGGTGAAGACCCAAGGTAGCCTTAATGTAACATGTGCCACTAAATGACTGATCACATGCATGGTCCCAGGAATAGGAGCAGCCATGTGACCACTCTGTCTTCTAGGACCAGCAGGTACAGGGTAGAGAAAGTGATGCTGATATCTTCTGCCTTGCTACCAAGGTACTTCCCTAAGATGACGGCTTGAGGGGAAAGTAAAGACCATGGTTTAAAAGCATCTCCCCTCATTTCTTCAGAGGGTGAGGCCTGCAGAAAGGGTGGTACCCATGAAGATAGGAAACATTCCCTTGAATGGGGTTCCTTTTCTCCCAGGCTTATTACACATCAGGACTTGCTTCTCAGTGACATAGTGCCAGACTGACTCAAGTCCCACAGACTCTCAGCCTCATCTTAGCTGCCTGAGAACACAGGAGATGGAACTGAAAGCTGAAAGTCATGGCTTGCTCCCCCAACTGTCGATGGCACTTGACACAGAAGAATGGGTCCCAGCCTCCCTCCCTTGGTGATGGATGGGGTAAGTTCAATTTGCTTGAAAGTTCCACTTGGCGGGAGCTCCACGGCCACATCCATCACGGCAGTTTTCTGCTCCAGCTGCTGTACTGTCATGGAGAAGGGGTCTGTGTTCTTAGAGGCCCTTCGTCTTTGGAGGGTGGACCAGCGCTGGCCATTCCCAGACACTGACTACAGAACCCGCTGTGTGATCTGGGTGGGGTGATCTTTGGCTCCTGGCCTGTGGATCAATCCTTCTTTCAGGTTGGTGCTCAGCCTTTCAACACAGTCTAACCACATTCACACTGAATAAAGCTTCATTGAGTTTAGGGAACAGTGCGTGTGGTTTTTGTTTTGTTTTTTTGAGGGGAGGGGGCATCAGAAGAGAGAGGTGGTAGGTTAGTTGTGTGATAATTGAGTGCACACTGCCTTTTTTTATTGCTCTGCCAGGCCTGACAAAAGTAACTTGGGAGAATTGGTTTTGTCTCACAGTTTGAGGGGACACAGTCTGTTATGGTTGGGAAGTTAAGACGTCAGGTGGCTCCAGTGGAGCGGAAGGCAGAGCCTTAGCAGGAAGGCAACCCTCCAGGGTCTCCAAGAGGGCTCTACCTCCTAGAGGTTGCATCAGCTTCCAAAACAGGGATACTAAGTGCTCAAACACATGAGCCTATGGAGGACATTTTAAATCCACACTGTAACAAGTGAAGAACTTGTTAGTCCTGTGTGTGTGTGTGTGTGTGTGTGTGTGTTTACTATTTTTCACTTGCTTGTAAGAGGAGGTCGCTCTAATTACAGATGGGAATTATAAATAATTCACAATGATTTCAAGCACTGCACGTAGTCATGAGAGAGGGGAAGCAGGGACTGGGCAGGGGTGTGTACTGAGGGCAGGCTGCTCTCTTTACTCTTTCTCTCTCTCTATGTCATGACTGAAGATGGCTTTCAAATAACTGTGTGTGTGTGTGTGTGTGTGTGTGTGTGTGTGTGTGTGTGTGTGTGTGTGTGTTTGTGTGTGTGTCTGTGTGACTCTATCCTAGATGGTCTCAGGAAAGACCAACTTCATCTAACCTCCATCCCAAAGCCAACATCATGGCCAGGGGTGCTGTTATTACCAACATGGCTGCTGGGGTCCTCTCCATGAGTTGAGAGAACTGGTTCTCATGGAAGTAAGTTTTATTGAATTGGGAGAAACACTTTTCCATGATCTATTATTGTTCCAGGAACAACTTAGAGACATGATAGCTTACAATGACAATTCATTTTGTTGTTTCCCATGATTCTGTGGGGTAAGGATTTGAACAGGGCGTGGCCACTGCCAGGAACTGTCTACCATCATGCCTTTCCTCCATGATGTCCCCTGGGGCTGGAACAGGTAAGCTATCTTTTGCATTTGAGTGTCTCACATGCTCAGGCTGCAGTAGTCCAACCCCCGGGCCCCCCCTCCCCCCGTGTGTGTGTGTGTGTGTGTGTGTGTGTGTGTGTGTGTGTGTGTGTGTTGGTGTGTGTCTCTGTTCCAGGGCTTCTCTTCTTACAATGTCTCTCTAGAGTCTTCAGTAGGGTGGCTGGACTTTTTATATGCCAGCAGTGGGCTTTTAAGAGGTTAAAACAGAAACTTCCAAACCTTCCAGAAGCCTAGGCTCAGATATGGTGTTGTTTCTGCTGCAGTTAAAACAGGTTGCAGGCTTAGCCCAGATTCAAGAACAGGGAGCTGTCTGAAGGCATGGATGTCAGGTGTGGTTCACTGGGGGCCACCAAAGTATAGAGGATGAGGATAACCAAAGATTGTGGACTCCAGAAAACAACCAGGTCTCTTTTGTTTATTTAGCTAGCTACTTGAAGAAGATATGT